CCCACGCTCAAATGCGCCAAGCTTGCCACAAGCCAAACGGCAGCTCAAGCCATACTAAATCACATGGAGGCTTAAATCCTGGGAATGGAATCTCAAAACAAATATCTCAGAAGCAAGTTCCAGCAATACGGAGTCACATGAAGACTGACATCCATATTGTACGAAATAAAATGAATAACTCAATCCCAACAATGGTAATCAACACGTGGAAACTCAAAACAAAGTGTCAATCGGAAGCTCCAGCAATGCTAAACCATATCATGGAGACTCGAAGGAGAAAGCCAGAAGGAAGCTTCAGCAACAAATACTGCTTCCAACGGAACGTCAAGCTTCAACAGTTGAAGTGCAACTTAAAGTAAGTCTCCAAAGAAAGATCCAGCAAATACCGAATCAAATGGGAAATCCAATCCAACAAATCCCAAAGTCAACTCAATCGAAATCTGAAAGGGAAGGTCCCGTCAGCAATACTAAATCAAATGTAGACATGGACCGAAGCTCCTTTTCAAGTCCTTCTGGAGTTCTGGATGTCTGGAATTCTCAATCCCGGGTTAAAAGTAGTATTTCCTAACACCAAGGTAGTCGTCCATTGATTTCTGCCGTTTTTGGTGGCCAACTTCTGGACCTCGTGGGCGGGATGCAGGTAATCCGAGCAGCTCACATGATCTGTCCAAATGGGGGCCCACAAACTCTTGATCATAGAGGTCCTTTTTCGTTGATTTGGTTGCTTGCGGTTCAGTCAACTTCCAGGGCCACCCATTTTGGGAAAACAAAAGGGACATCTACGCTCTTGATGGTCCTTGTCCTTTTCCTTTAAGCCAACCTGATCAGGGGGTAGCCCTCCCAGAAGACAGGCCCATTTTGCACAATCATCTGTTAGGCTGGTGCTGCACAAGAAAGACCTACTGGAGCTTAAAAGTGCCTTGGCATGGCCAGAGGGAGTGCCCGGAAAAAGCTCCCACAAAACATGGCTGAGCCGACCTTTGGAAGACTTGCCTCATGATACCTGGCGCTTTCGTTCCCTACTTTTCGGAAATCCCAGTTGCTGAAACCGTCTGGCTCTGAAACTCTTCCTTGGAAGTCCATTCATGTCGTTGCTCAGTTGACTGATTTGTTCCGGACAGTGGTTTGGCCCCCCACATGTCGACGCGGCTGAGCAAACGCTTTGTCGGTACAGACCTTAACGCTGGTTGTCTCATTAGACCTGCGCAAGGCAAACCGTGACATGTTGCTGCCTCGACGCCGTCCATGAAGGTGTTTCTTGTAGGCGTAATTGGCGTGATTCACCAGGTGAATTGCAAGAATTCGTGAACCTACCTGAGACATGTCACCCTGATGGGTTGTTATTGTTGGTTTTGTGCGGGGCTTCCAGTGAGCTCATTCTGGTCCCAACGGGCAAGCCCTTGAGTCAGTGGCTATTGGGCAGAGACAAGAAGAGAAGCAATACTTATATAGACTCTTTCGGGGTCACATCGCCTCATGAATGCTACAACCTTCTTTCCAGACTTGGAAATCAGGGCGGGTAGGCGAGTTCCTCAATTTTGGAGGGACATGGGGGACACTGAAATTTGCCAACACTACCAGGGGGCTCTGTCCAATTTGCCCATCTCCTTGGGAAGAAAGTAATTCTGTCCGTGAGGCGAATTTCCCGCCTGCGCGGCCATCTGGATCAAGGTGGCGCGGCGCAAGGACCGGGATTCATTGCCACAACAGCCTTGCTGTTTGGCGGCTTTCAGAGGCTTCATACCTTTTCTAGGTCCCCAGTAGTGCCCTTTTTGACCCCTTTTTTGCGTGAGGGTTCCCCTACTAAAATAGACTAGAAAAAAGTTGGTACCCTTATTCTAACCTCTCTTCTGAAGGACCTGGTACCTCTAATCCAGTCCAAAGCTCAGAGAAGACCCGCTACCGTATTGTGCCTTCCCGCAGGACAATTGCTACAGTCCTGTTCTGACCTCTGGAACCTAGAAGCCGTTGCCTTGAATTAGGCTGAGCAGTTGTTTGGTGACTCGGATGTGCTTGTCCGGATTTGATAGACGACTTGTTGTGGAGAAGATGGAAGCAGGGCCCGGTCTCACCGGTGCTACTAACTGCCTTTTCCTCTCAGCAATTTATGGGCGTGCTGTGTGTGTGTGTATGTGTGCGGGTGTATTTTGCTTTGCGTGGGTGTGCGTGATTGAATTTGTTTGCTTTTGCACGTGCGTGGTCGTTGTTCTTTGTCGCACGCTCTCTCTATCTCTCTGATTCTTTCTCTGTCCACACTCGTTGTTGAATGTGTTTTTGAGTGTTTGTCTGTGTGTGTGTGTGCGCGCTTGTTCTGTTGTGTATGTGTGTTCATTATGTGTGTATGTGGTGCTTGTGTATGTGATTATGTGTTTGTGTGCGTGTTCGTGTCTGTTTGTTCGCTGTGTGTGTGTGTGTGGGTGTCTGTGTCTTTTGTGCGTGCTTCTGCGTTTCCGTCTTCGTAGTTGTGTGTGCGCAAGTGGCGTTTTGTGTGTTTGTATTTGTGTTTGTGTTGTGTTTGAGTTTGTAGAAGTTTGTGTATGTGATTGTGGTTGTAGTTTTGGTTAAGCTTGTGGTTGTGTGTGTGTTTCTTGTATTTGTGTTTGTCGTTGTGTCTCTGTGTGTGTAGTGTTCGTGCTTGTGTGTAAAGGCAGGGTTTTATGCAATGTCATGGGCTGTTGGCTGGCGTAGGCTTGCGATGGTTTCCGTTTGCAATGATTGCGTCAAGCCGGTCACCCAGCCAGAGGCCTTGTGAATGCACGTCGCTCCATTGCCCCCCCCCAACTAATACATCAAGTATCGTAGCGACGCCATGTGGCAATGGCTACCCAGCGAGTATCAAACACCTTGACTTGACCCCTTGATTGCCTAGCGGCGGCTGTCTCAAGTGGTTTCTGTTTTCAGAAGTCGACCTCTGGGTTTGTCAAAGCAACTGCTACCTATGAAATGGACCGGCTGACTCCCAAACAGTTTTTAAGGACTGTTTGTTGGGTTTCAAAGGCGCACTTCCCAACTATATCCACCTTCTTATTTCACGTTTGCACGCAATGCATGTTGTATTGGTTTGTTGTCACGCAAAGCCACCCAACATCCATCGATTTTGCCCTGAAACTAGGAATGAACAGGCTGTGTGGAAGACATCAAGCTAACTTGGACTCAAGAAGGTCCACTTATATACGTATACATAGGCTTTTGCACCTTTGAACCTCCACGAACGGCACATCAAGTTTGGAGGCGTTAGAACCATGCTACGCCCAGAAACGTGTTGATCCCACCTTAGATGATACCCACTATGGGTCCCAAATTGCAAACCCATGTGTGGCGAGGGTTGCCCGACTCAGCTTTGGGAACATTGAAGGTCCCTTTCTAAAAAGGCTCTTGGCAGCTGTTTTTTTGGGATGGAGAAGCTTCAATGAGTGTTTTTCTCCCTGCTGAAGAAGGAGTGAGGCGTTGTTCTTAATGTTGTCTTTTTCTTTTTTTTACATGTTTGGTGCTTGGCCCTCCCTGCGTGTCAGGAGTGGCACAGAGGCCAGCTGTTGGAATCGCTGACAGTCCCACGTGCCCTTGGCAGCACTCACATGGGAAAATCGGGGAAACGCAGGATCAAAGGGGCCCCTCTAGGTCCCCCAGTAGTGCCCTTTTCAACCGCCTTTTTGGTTGGTAGGGTTCCACTCCTAAAATAGACTACAGAAGAAGGGTACCCTTATTCTAACTTCTCTACTGGAGGACCTAGGTGTGTATTGTTATAGGGAACCGCCAAGCAGAATACACGGTGTTAGTTGTTCCTTCAGTTTAAAGCCAACCAATAGGAAGTACCCGCAAAGAAAGAAACCCCCAAAAAAGGCAAGCTCTTTGACACATGGTTGCCGCGATTCCCTATAAGATGCACATGTCGCTGGGCAATCATCATGAGCACTGAGGTCAAACGAGGTCAAAAGTTGCCTTGGAGAGTAATTGTTTGTGAGCTACTGTGCTTCGGGCAGATGTTGGTGTGCCTTAGAAGTCAGTTCAACAACTACTCTGAACCTGACTTACTGTGGCAGTGAGGCATGTAAACGTTGTTTATCGCACAGTGCTCATTTCAAAACAGGCCGGGGTTCGAGCAGAGGCAATGGTCTCGCTCACAAGACGCATGGGCTGTGGTGTTTTCCTTTTTGTTTCCCCTGGTTTGGAGTCCTGAAGGGTATGCCATGTTCCTTGTTGCATGAATGGTTTGGCACATTGGGCGGGTGCCCTTTCTTTGAGTGGTTCTGAAGGAAGACCAAAAGGAGAACCGCCATGCTTTATTGGTTTGCCTTGTTGGATTCCTTCATTTTCCCCTTCAGCATCACAGGGGCCGGATCCGCTGGATCTGAGGAGCTCTTGATTTCGGCAGGTTTTGGGGGTTCATTATTGTTTATTCCAGGAGTATCCGAAGTCTGTGCGGAGCCCGTGGACTCACTCTTGCAGCTTGCCCAGCCGAAGTTGCTCAGAGAACTTGACCAGAGAGACTAGCTCAGACAAACTTGCTCAGCGAACTTTGCTCACAGAACTTGCTCACAGAGCTTGCTTTTGATTTAAACTTGGCGATCGAAGGGTTCGGTTCACACCTTGTCCGCACACGGGCGTTGCAAGCTAGAATCACCACATTACTGTAGGCGGGTAGTGCGAAAAGTACGCTCCGGCAGCTCGCTTTTCCAGAATCACAACAATAGAGTACAAAAGGAGAGCAGTGCGTGCGCCGCGCTCAGGAACTGGCAGATAGAGCTTGCGTAAAGTAACTTGCACCCAGAGCAACCTGCACAGAGCAATCTGTGCAGAGCAACTCGCACAAATCTACTTGCGCTAAGCAGCTTGCACGGAGCTGCCTGCACTCGCACGGATCAGAGCAGAGTGTAAGTGGCTAGCAGGGGAGTACGGCTTTTGCGCGTGTGCATGAAACATGTTGGTATCAGAGGGGCTGGACTGAACGATCCCCCCAGTTGGGAAACAATGCTTTCGGAGCCTTTACTCCAAGCATTGCCGAGCTGGGGACCAAGTGTTGGATTTGCTTGGATGGCTTCTATTCCCTTGCAAAGGCAGCCAACTCCCTACATCGGCCGGAAACTGGTCCAATTACAGAAGTCATGTTTCTGGGAGAGCTCTTGGCCACTTTTCTTTTTTTGTGTTTTGTTTTTTTATCGTTTTGAATCTCAGCATCTCAGGCAGCTACAAGAAACTGGCGCTGCACACGATTCAGCACCTTGCCAAATTTAGCTGTCCATTCCAGGAGCCTGACTACGCTGGAGACACTTTGGAGCACTGAAGAAGGGTTTGCAGAGACGCCCAAGGAACAAAGAGCCCAAACTCTCTGATCAACACTTTGGTGTTCCCCTAATGTTGCTTGGCTCATGTGCTGGAGCTGACAAAGCCTATTTTCACCTGCGGACATGCGCAGAGAAACCAATGCAATCTTGCAACCAGGTGGCTCACTTTGATGTTTGGCATGTGTTTTTTTTTGCCCCCGGTAGCATGGTCACCTAAGTGTTGTGCGACTCGTTGTGTCATGTGTTTTCTTTACACTCCAGTAGTTTAGTATATTTTCCGAGACAGCTGAAGGAGGTAGGTTGCTCTAGGTGATTTTGCGGGTTGCTGGGGCACTGGGCGCGCGGCCTTGATTTACCACTTTTTCGATGCTAGTGAAAGGGCTGGCGGCCAAAGTAAGAGACGAGGGGAAAATGTAATAGTTATATAGGGCGTTGATGTAGTTGCTTTGACTCACCATCCAGGAGGTTGGTGGTACTCGAGTTGCGTGACACTTCTCGCACATGCAATGCTAAATGGCGGCACAACCACAGTGTGCTAAGGGGTCTTGCGGAACAGATCTGAGGTGGCGCCTCATTCTTGGGCCTAGTGGTACAATGATTGAAATAGCGATCCATGCGCCGGTTTTGCACTTGCATTAGGTTGTGTAGGGTGTGTTTTTGGGATCATGTATGACACTTTTGGGATCATCGAGGTTTGTGCTGAGCGGGCTTTGTCCAAAAGGCGTCAGAATGGCGCCAACCTGTTGGGCCAAAGGCGCATTCAGCAAGCTGCTCGATAGGAGGACATCCCTTCCCGGTTCTTCAAATCTGGTTGGGTGCTTGCCCGTTGTTGTTTCTTTGCGGTGGTTCTTTGATTGTTCGCTTGTGGTGCATGACTTGCAGTGGTGTAGCTTTTGTTTTGCAACCGTCTTCTTCTGGAGTATAGTCAGTTTTCTTGTCTTTGTTTTTTTTGGGGGGGGTCATGCCTGCAGAATATGATCCAAGTGTCCATGGCACATGGAAAGAGTTCAATTCCCTAGTCCGCCCCTCTCAGACTCTCGTCCACATGTTTGCGGCCAGGGAATCTGTATCATTAGAAACCTGATGCCAGTTCGGGTCTTCACTTTCTGGGTGTTCACTTCAGGTGGCTATGGGCAACTATTGGGTCGTACATATCGTTGTTGGGCTGGCTGGCTGGCTGGCTGGCTGGCTGGCTGGCTGGCTGGCTGGCTGGCTGGCTGGCTGGCTGGCTGGCTGGCTGGCTGGCTGGCTGTCGTTCATCCCTCTCAAATTCCATGTCCCGCAATTTGCAGATGTGCCGTGTACAAAGCATCTTTTTACCAAAGGTTGGTAGGCATGGTCACCGACGCCTGAAAGTGTCTCTCAATGAAAAGAACTCCTATCCAGGGAACCATGATCATGACCCACATACAAGTTCGAACATGGCGCGCAGGAGGTGGAGTTTCGGTGCAAAGGCTTATGGGGCTCACTGGGGATGTGTGACTGCAATACTAAGGTCCTTCTACCGAACACGCTTCGGCAGGAGGAAGGAAAAGAACGATCTCCGAACTTCAGCCCACTGCATCATCGTCCCGCCCAGCATTTGTGAGGCGTGTAAAGCTTCGGTCCGAGAAACACGCGCCGCTGTTGAGACTGGTCATACTGAATTCCGAACAAGCGCGGCTGTGCTTGGAAACGGGAGGTTCTCAAAATAGGGGGACCCCTTTTGGGGTGGCTTTGGGAAACCAAAAGGACACCACCTACCTGGAGGGGTCCCCAATTTTAGGAATCGATGAACAACCTGACTATCCCACTTTGGAGTTTTGACGGGCTGCCCAATTGCTACAAGCGGGCGCTGTGTGTTCGCGAATGTATCTATTAAATGTGAGATGGTTCACAATGTTTGGGTTTCTGAGTGTTGGTCGGAGCGAGTGTTTGCAAGAAAGGATGTCAAAGGCTGGCCGCTTCTTGATTTTCAACCCCTATTCAGCAACAAGTTCAGTTTGCTGGGCATCGAAGTCTGGTCCAGATTCGAAGAGGCGTCCGCTGGTATGGGATTTACCCCTGAGGAAACCACAGTTTTCTCACGCCCACGATGTTGGAGTTGGGATGGCCAAAGACCCGACATGGGTTGGTATTGGTACTTGCGGCAAGCGTCCGCCAGATGCGAGTTCCCTCGGTGTCACAGGCGTGGAATTCGGGCGGGCGGGGCGAGCGCTACCCTCGTGAACTTTACGAGATGAAGGTCCAAGGGGGCGGGCAAACTGAAGCTCCGGGCAACCTGCTTGCTTTGTGCGGTAACTGCAGAGAGCCTGAAAAAGCTTGGTGGCAAGCATGCAAAAAAGCATCTACATGGGTTCCACTTCCAAAAAGCCTAAGCTGGAGAATTCTTTTGCCAACGCTCATCCTAGGAAATTTCCCGAGATGAAAAGCGATGATTGGGGGGCCTTTCTGCTTTTTCGAGGGCTCTTGGCGAGGCAGGTATTTGGCAAGCCATGCTATGGCGATGCTTGTCATCCGTAGTTGTGTGTGTTGCTCGACTTGAAGTCCTAGTACGCGGCGGGAACGTGCCAAGCTATGCTGATTCCTCCAAAAAGGATGTTTTCTCGTTGATTCCTTCTGAAAGCCAATTCAACATGTTTGCACGAGCATCCCGGACTTTGCAGTCGTTTCAAATGATAGAAAGACTTGCCTGCGCGCATCAACCATCATCCAGAGCATGTGTTTCTGGTATCGATGGCGGAACTTCCTCAATAGGTGTTGACAGGAGGCGTGCGCAACTCAGTTTCTGGGGTGCCCATTCTCACCCCCTTTTTTGGTTGGGAGGGTTCCCCTACTAAAATAGACTACAGAAAAAAGTTGGTACCCTTATTCTAACCACACTACTGGAGGACCTAGGTTTTGTTTGCTGTGCAACATGGTTTCCTGGATTTTGTTCTGTCCGTGCTGTGCGAAACTCCGATACTTGTGAGCAGCATGATGGTGGAAGCGTTCGATCACCTTCGTCTTCGGCCCCTTCCTCGTCTTGCCTTTCCATTTGTTCCTTGGTTTGACTGGGTTCCTTGTCTGCGGTGTTCAGAGGTGGGTGTGGCTCAAAATTAAGCAGGAGGGGTTACGAAGGTTTTGGTCCATGGGTCCACTTACCAGGGTTCCATTTTAGCACCGGTTTTTTGAGCCACCGCCAGGTGTCCACAACATGTTGCGTGAACCAATGCTGGAAGCATTCGGCCTCCTTCTCGGGCCCCTTCCATTTTTGCCTTCATGCTAGCTCATTGCTTCTCTGCCCTCTTGCAGGTGGCTTCAATACCTCAATCTTCATGTTTGCTATTGTCAGCATGCTGTGATTCTCGGGCAACGCTCTTCCGTTTGGCCAACATGTGCATGCGCCGGGAATCCGGCCTCGTGCGTGCTCCACCTGGCGAAGACTGCCATGACTTGTGTCTTTTTGTGGAACTACCCTCAAGCATGGTTTGTGGACAACCTTGCGATGTAAGTGATATGCGCAAAAGGTCTGTGGCTGACACGTATGCCCACTCGGCCAGGAAATGCCAAATGCGGAGTTGCAGAAGCTGAGAGGCAAAGTGGAGGCAAGGAACTTGTCACCGAGCATATCTCACAATACGGAGCTTCTTTGTTGCCACTTTGGATCAGATATGGCTCTTCGGTGGTTTGCAGGAACCGCCGCTATCGCGTCCCGTCCCGCTAGATGCGGTAAAGATGTGGTTTGCGTAAGAGCGATGCTATGGCAGAGATTCCCAGAATCAGTCAGGACCTAAAGCGCTCCTTCTGCTTGCGTTCTCGCAAGCCTGAACCGACACCAAGAAAGGAAGGAAGGAGTGGATGGGTCAGAACACGTATACAGTTTAAGAGCTGCCAATCTCCAAGTTGGGTGTCGCACTTTCATACGTCTGCCAAGTTTCAACCGGTTGTCCTTATATGTCCCTTTTTGCAAGGATTCATGCTTCCCCTTTTTGCTGTAGCAGGATCAGGGAGCGGGATCGATTCTCGGAATGCCACTTGTGGTGATATGTTGCCTTTTGTTGGCAGGATGGCGCGCAACGCAACTGGCGCAGCTCAACCCCACCCCATTCCCTGATTGTTTTTACTGGTGCTCGCTCATGATCTAGTCAGATGAGTTGTTCATCAAAGTTTCATGTCACCACGTTCTGATGTAAACAATGGTGTTCAGCGAGACAAATCCACGTACATCTTGCGGCCAAGATATCCTTTATTCACTGCCTTGGCTCCGCAGTATTTTGGTGGATATATATATATATATCTATCTGTATATATATATATATATTTATACCTTTCTCTGTACCTTCGCAAAAGGTAACGCACAGGCCGCCTTGGCCACGTACCGGCCCTTTTGTTTGTCCTGTCGTGCTGCCGCCCTCCACCAGAGTGGTCGTCTCCGTCCTGGCTTTGGCTGGGGGGGGCTAAAAGTAGTGGAAGCCGCCCCCGGTCAAGTAGAGCTTCGACCCCGCGTTATCGCTTTCTCTTGCTGAGGGCCATCGTCCGTGGGTTCGAATCTTCCCAAGCTTCGCCGCTGCCTCGCCTGCCCGCCTTCGACTGGGCTCTTCGCCGGAGATTGCACGGCAAGCCGCCGCCCGCCGCGCTGCCTGGCGCAGCTGCTGCCTACGACTTGTGGAAGCCAATGCGCCGGATATGTTGCGCCAAGTGCAAGCGGGGCCTTCAACTTTCCAGCTGAGGGGGCGGGACTGCGTGGTGTGTTTGAAAAGGCAAGACCGGTCCGGGGGCGGTGGTGCTGACCCCCGCCTTTACAGCCGGCCTGGGGCTGCCGAGCCTGCCATGAATTTTTGGAGGACGCGACGGGGTGCCTCCTGCCAACCGTGACATTGTTTGGCCTCACGAGCATCCACAAAACGGGTCAACGAATGCAACGAGCATGTCGACCCTCTGGCCTACACGCTGCTCTTTCCTTGCGGGGAACAAGGCTGGAGCTCTGCCATGCTCCACACGCCAGCTTCTCGTAGTGCCGCCAACCAAAGCATCACGGCCGTTGAGTTCTACTCCTTTTTTTTGATGCGGCGCTCTGCTGGCTTTTTTCTGCTCTTGTCTGGAGTTTGTTTTTTTAGTAATACCTTTGCGACGCCTCCAGCCGCGCAGAGGCTCAACGGCTGCGGTGGCATCGTCTCAGCCAACCTGTCCTCCGCTGGGGCGGCCTGTTGGCCGCCTGCTTTTGTTTCTAGGGGTTGGCAGGTCGCTTCCTTTGCACTTCGCTTGCCCAGAGAACAGGTCCGATCGAGTATAAATAAATAAATCAATATATATATATATGTATATATATATATATATACACATGTGTGAGTGTATACATCATGTGTGTATGTATGTATATATATATATATATATGTATACACATGCATGAACAACAACTTGTGCGGTTCGCGTCCTTTGCCCAAGTAACGAACATGGACCGCCTAAGCGCAATCCTGCTTGAAACAACCTCAACGAGGGTGCCGACTCAAAGCAAACACCCCAAATTGCTGCTGCTCGGACAGCAAAGCTGGGACAAGTCAAGCATTGTGTTGGCAGACGAGGAATCAAACTTATTGAAGTACGTAAAACCTACCTTGCGATCCTCTTTGGCAGTAAACGTTTGTGAATTTCTTGAGCGCCGACGAGACCCTCGAAGAAAACCTGGAGATCATCATGTCTTCCACGCCTGGCTGAAAGGAGGTTTTCGTTGCGAGAAGTGGGCCAGGCTAAGACGCATCAAGCACGCCTTTAAATGGTTTACCTCAGGCCGCTTTTATGACAGCGGGGGTGAGGGTTCCGCCGAAGCGTGGCGGCACCCTTGAAGAGTAACTTCTGTAGAACGACATCGAGGTATGCTGTTGAATTGGCGTTCAATCATTTTGGTGATTGGTTGTCTGATTCCAACGCTGTTTGCTGTCTCTGAAATTAAATTTGTCCGACGGATCTATGTTTCCATCAGGGTTTCTCCTGCTGTGTTGACCGCGGAAAAGGTTCGGATATCTATTGCGTGGGTTGGCCTTTTGGGGCCATTGGAATGCCATGGTTCCCAACAACAACGATGCCCTATGCCTTTTTCACCGAAAGAGTGGGCAGTGCAAGCGCCGGTACACAAAAAGCAGCTCTGACACACTGAGGATCTCCCAATTTGATGTGCCATTTGGTTGGCTCGTTCAGTAAACCCACACGTTGTGACACGTGTGCACGATTGCCGGCACTGTCTCAGCTCAAGATTCCCCATGACTCCTAACAACTTGAAACATGCTCTAAGTGTGGGTTTGGGAAAAGCTTCAAAATGCTTCAAAGTGCATATCTGACAATATATGTTCTTGGCCTCTTCTCGGACAGGTAATGGACCAGAGGATGCTAGAGATGCAAACGACCCTGGACGCCATCATGGAGGAGCCGGGATGTTCGGATGGCACAGAGTGCATCTTGCTCATGTGCCAAGGAGCACTTGCAAAACTAGCATCAGCTTCTGATTTGTCATACGTGCATTGATGCCTGTCCCAGCTGTTTCTTTTTGGCTTTCTGCATGGCTTGGGGGAAGCTGGTCGCTGTTGTTTGGTCACGTTGGGCTGCTCTTTGGGACGCAATCCGTCCATCAAGAATCTTTCCTTGAATCACAACCTGATGGCCTTGCGATCTCCTCGTGCCCCAACTTAATTTTGGAGAGTCATTCCCTGCTTCGATCAGGAGCTGAAATCACACCGACCATCATAGAGTGCGACTTGGCAAGACATGAGCTAACTGTCCAACAGCAGTGGCTTTAGCTGTAGCGAAGGAGACCCCCACAGCGGTTCTGTTATGAGGTACTGAAAGCACTGAGCCCGGTCCACATCCCCATCCCAATCCCGTCCGCATGCCCATCCCCTCACATCCCCGCTCATCCTCTCCCTCCCAACAGCACCAGGGGCCCCCTTTCAGAGGAAACTAATATCCAAGTACCTTCTTGTGGATTGGTTCCGTAGTTGTAGATTAGTTTTGTTTTGGGTTGGATTCCCTTTGTTTCCGCTCAGCTTCCATGTCCAAAGCATGTAGCGAAGTATTTGATAGGATTTGCCTTGGGCACATTTCTGGGCCCTGGTCACCCGCAAGCAGAAGCACTTGGTTGAAGCTAACCTCTTCCGGTGGTTCCTCTTGGCTCTGAGGCATGCGTCTCACATGGCGCGCGAGTCTCGCACGAGTCTCTGGCGTTGAAAGGGCAAAAGGGTCAGCAGGACGAAAGAAAACGAGACAACAGGAAGGATATGACTCAAAAAGGTCCCACAGGGAAGATTTCTGTCATTCTGGTTTAACTTCTTTTTGTTTTTTTGGGAGCATGAGATGAATTTGATGACTTTTAAGAATTGTTCCAACCAGGTATGTGTCCTCAACCTTCAGCACACCTAGTTGAAGGTTGCTCTGGCTCCAGGAAATAAGCTCCCCGGCCCCCAGAATTCTTGAGTCTTGCACACCCCCCTGAAAGCAACCCGCGCAGCTTGACTGGAGCAAATCGGCTCATTGGGCATGTTCCAGTGCGTTGGAGTATCTCCAGTGACAAGCCTGGGGAGAACTCACCTGTGAGGTTTGCTCGAACCCCACTTCTTTGCAAACATCTCATAAGACCCCAATTACCATCCCTTTTATTTTTCTCGGCGAGTGGTTTTTGATGGGGGGTTCAAACACAAACCTCATGTCACAGGGCAGACACCTCCCGGCAGGACTGGACACAACGCGATATCCAAGCTTCAACTGCCCCTGTGTGGGACCATGGCTACCCTGATTTGTTTTGTTCGGAAGGGAAGTAGATTGTTGTTTATGTCCCAGCCATTAAAACCATGGGCGGGGCTCCCCTACTGCCCGCACATCCCTAGTCCTTTCCCCGAGTTCCCAGACATTTGAACGAAAAACCGGCGGACCCGTCGGGAGGACTGGCAACAGCGGCCGTTCTTGTGGCCGGCCGCTTTTTGTTTTCGTTTTTTTTTGCGCCAAAGGCGCATGGAGAGCTCTGGCCGAATGTAGGACTTCAGGGAAGGTCGGCCTGTTTTTGTCACCAGGGTATCCCAGTATCTTCACGAGTGCGAAGCACTAGAAGAACGTGGCTGGTTCCACTCAGCGCTGAGTTGGACTGCCAGGTGGGAAACGACAAAGCAGCGAGGTCCACAGTTTCTTCTCATTTCGCTGGAACTGTGCCATTCAGCATCCTGCTAACAAGGAGATGACAGGTGCTTGCTGGCCACGGGTTGCTTGTTTGCCCACGCAATACAGGAAATGATTCCTTATTCCAGATGGAATTCCTGAAGACATACAGTGGATGGACGAAATCCTGCACCACGTGAGAAGCCCCGGAACGATGATTCCCCTGTACCAACAAACGTTATGGTTTCAACCATGGTTTCTTTGCTGCGAAGTGGATTTCGCAACCATCCACAGTATCCCTCTCTTCCAGCTTGGTTCCATCGTGGCAAAAAAATGCAACCCAGCAACCAAGGCTGGAGAAGTAGACCCAGGGTCCTCATCGGGAGCCTGGCACTTCGACTCCCCGTTTCACTGGGCTTAATACCAGCTTCGTACGAAATCAGACACAACACAAAAATGGAATATGTTTTCAGTTAGGTTTTTGAAGAAAGCATCATTTATTTATTAAGCAAACAAACACATGAATGAGAAGGGCTTTTCAATCGGATGAGAAAGGCTAGTATGAAAAGGGAGATGATATCGCAATCATCGATGTTTATGTTCAGAAGTTATAGGCATAGGATTATCGAGATGTAAATGATTATGTATATAATGATTCTTTTTGAATTATTATTATATTATATTAAATTATATTTTTTTATAATTATTTTTTAATAAACCGGTATTATTTCGAGATTATAATGTAAATATGGTAAGCGGCAATATGTATGTTGATTTTTTTGTTGGTATGGATTTTTTATAGTTGATTTTTGAAAAAATGTGTGTGGTATAATTGGATAAATATTGTGTAATATTTGGTTGTATTATTGAATATATTTTTAGATGTGTAGACACTAAATTTATAGAAATTGTTCGACTAATTCTTTATTTTTAGTAAATTGGTTTTGTTTGTTTATTCGGTATTGATGATATATTATATGTTTGTTTAATTTGATTAATTTAATGGGAATATTGTATATATAAATATATATATATAAAGAAAAATATATAATAATAATATAATGTATAGAATTATTTTAATTGATTATAATATATTTATTTAAATTATAGTATTGTAATTTATAATGATTTATTTTATATGTAAATTAATTTTCCGAAATAATTTAGATAATTTTAGAAACATCATAATCATTTATTATATTCTCGAAATATTTGGAAGAATATTTGGGGTGCAATTATCGAAATACCCGGAATATTTTGGCAAAATGATTCGGGATTTACACGAAGCTATTGTGTTTTCCAAATAAAATTGGGATATATATTTGTTTATTCATTGGTTGAAATTTTGTGTGTTTTCGGAGAGTTTGGCAATACGGTCGTGGCCGATTATTTCCCTAGAATTTTGGGCGAAAACAATTTGTCTTTGCTTGCACCTATAGATAAATCTCCGCCTTTTATTGATTTTTTAGCGTGATTTTATTTCGGCCCTCAGTGTATCTCGTGATTTGTATTTGTAGAACGACATTTTTTTCGTATACGAAGAGCGTATATTTTTGATATATGTATTTCGTTAAAATATGTTGGTGTCTGAGTTGCAAAAATGTCTAACCGGCATGGGCTCTACAAGATTTGGTCTATTCTTGGCATACTTATTACGACCTGGACCTTGATCCTTAAGAATTCAATTTATGCGGTTTTTTGGGCAGAGTATATGAAGCTTCGTGAGATTGTGTTTTTACGGAATCTCTGGTCTTGATTTATGAAAAATATATTGGAATTCTTTTTTTTGGCGCCCGCCTTAACTTACCCCTACCGCCTTTAACTGACTCTTTGGTGAGACTTTACGGCCTGGATTTTACTTAGCCCTTGAGAGCTCGGCTTACGCGATGCTTTGCGAAGAATGCATAAAGCTTCGTGAGATTGCGTCTTTGCGGACGCTTTGGTCTTGGCTTGTGGGTTGTTTTTGATGAATATATTGGAATTCTGTTTTATGATTGTTTTCTTTTTTTTGGTACCCGCCTTAACTTATCCCTAATTATTGGTTTGGATTGGAGGTTTGGGAATTTAATCCCTGGATTCAATGGAAAATATTCCTTACCAAAATCCTAATCTAAAGCTATGCGCTTTCCGATAAGTATTTGTTATATTTCTGTGTCCGTGGCTGGGTTTTTGGTATGCCCTTATCGTGTCGGTCGCCCTCAGCGATATAAGCTTCCTTTTTGTAGGCGCATCTGAGAGCGACTAGCCCGGCATTCAGTGCATCTTGCGATTTGTGTTTGGAAAAGAAATGGCATGCTTTTTGTATACGATTTTTCTGAATTATATAATGTATATCCTAGAATATGTTGAACTCATTCTCTAATCTCCAATTTAAAGTTATCTAGTTTCCAATAAGTGTTTGTTATGTCTATATGTTTGTGGTTGGTTTTTGGTGAGACCCTTATCGGGCCGTCTTCAACGACGTAGGCCTCCTTGTCTAGGTGCATTTCAGAACGATGAGCCCGGCATTCAGTGCATCTCGCGATTTGTTCTTGGAAAACGGAATGTTTTTCGTATACGAAGAATTTTTGAATTATTTCATATATATATATATAATAGAATCTATTGGTATTTAAATTACAAAACAATTTGCCGGCATAGGCTTTATAAGATATATTCTATTCTTAGCATACCCACCACGGCCTGGGCCTTGGCCCTTAAGAGTTTGGCTCATACGATATTCCATCAAATTTTCCAGATATTGTTTGACCGCTAACCGAGCTTTTTCGCAAATCCGTATAAGGTATGAAAAGCATCGGCCGAGCTGTAGGCAAAGCTGTGGACGTTTTGCTTAATAACGAGCCTTAGCTACTTTATAAGGGCTTTTTAAGGGCTTATTTTAGGCTCTGTACATATGGCCGGGCATTCTGGACTTTGGGGGTGTATTAAGAAATAGGATATGTATTATAAAGAGATATATTCGTATGGTTTTGGTTATTTAGTATATTTGGTTATGAAACGATTTATGGCTGTATTTTTTATAGGGCCAAATTTCCCATAAATCGTGGTTAGTATTATTGTCTTATAATATTCCGAAATCGTTTTTCGTTAAGTATTTGCTCGGTCTAGTTACCTATTTCTTTCTATATGAAGATAATCGTATATCTATTTATAATTATTTATTAGAATATGTTTAACTCTATATTCTGATTCTATTATTCTCTTGTCATAGGTTTTATCTCGCACGTTGATAGAAAATAGCGGGCCCCTACTAATTTTAATATAATTGTAAATATTAGAATATTAATTGATTATATTTTTAAAGAATATAAAAATAATAAAATATTATAATAATCGATATTTAAATTAATATTTAAATATTATAAAATAATATATATATACAATATATATATATATATATACAATATTTAAATATATATATATAATATAATGTATATTATATATATACATTAATTAAATATTTTTTTTAATATATATATATATATTAAAATAATAAAATCTCATATATATTTAAAGATATATATAAATTAATATTTAAATATTCTCGAATTTCTTATTTATTACCTTATTATTATCATTTGGTTTTTTTTTTTCATTTTAATAAATAAATATAATTTAATCGATATTTCTTTTCTTTATATATTATTATTCCCTTAACCTCTCGCATAATTTCCAAGAAAATAATTCTCGTATATGCTCAGGCTAGGTTTGAGACCGCATCCATACTAAAACACTTTTGGGGCAGCGGGTAGGCATAGGATGACTAATAACACCGATTAGCAATTCAGCACCCTCACAATGGTCTGGCTTTTCGAAGGTGAGATTATAGGCAGTATATGCCCCCCAGAATTTGACTTCAATTAATTGCGTTCAGCCTAGGCTTTACTTGCTCTTTTGACCCTTCGTTTTGTATTAGAGAATCTTGCCCAACTTGAAGAAACACCAGCACTTAGAAATAGGCAGGTGCTAAGCAAATTGTGGCCCTTCTTGGTGTGCGGGTTTTGTGGCTGCGGGATCTGAAGCTGGACTAGTCTCATGCAGATTTGGAGCTAATGCATGAGTTTATTTAGGCTGCAATTATGCGCTTTAATCTTAATGCTGATATTCAGAATTTGTTT